GCTTTTTGTTTGATTGAATAATAAAAACACAAATTTACCTCCATATTAAACACGGTTGTTTTAGGTGCTTTGAAACTGGTTCAAAACAAACCTAAACATGTTTTCACTCAAACTCAGTTGTACCTTATGGTTCTCCAGAGGATCCTTCATGGCGAACGACTGGATGAACTCCTCAGGACCGATGAAGCTCAGTCTGTCCTGGAGGCAGAAAACAGGAGGAGATAAGTTGAAACGATATTTTAAAGTATACATATCATGCTTTTAAATTCTTCCTTTTCACATTTAAATCATTCAGTTCACTTTATAAAGTGGAACTACAAAGCTTTGGTCTGAATTCCTCCTTATTTTAACTTTACCAGCCCCTCTTTCACCACTTTTCTGTAGTGTGTCACAAAGCAGCTGGTTTTGTAACTGTTCCTTCAAGGTGCTTCAAACCCCGCCCCCCTCCGGCTTCCAGACTGGTCCACTCCGGTTTGAAAGCAGGGTTTAGCATTATGTAGCGTGCAGAAAATTTATAATTGTCTACAATGGAAGACTTGTCCATCTAGCTTCATGTGTTGGAGCCCGAATCTGACCCAGAACCGAAGGAGGGTGAAAGAATGAAATTGTAGTTGGTAAGTCCAGACCTTATTTGGCAATTCTGTCGCAGATAATTTGCCGTAATAGTTCAGAAAACATCATAGAAAATAGAGAAATGGACTGAAAAATATGAACCAAACAGCATATAAAGATATCTTTGCAGCACCAGGAGAGACTAAATTCAACCTTTCTGCACTACTAGAGACGCCAAGTAAACAGCAAAATGAATTTTAACAGCTAAAAAAGTGGATTTTGCATGAAATGTCCCCTTTAACAAAAAAAACAGTTCAAAACAGAAAACTTTCTTGTTTTTGTTTAACTTTAAGCATTAAATAAACTAAAATTATAAAATTTACTTTGGCAAAATGAATATAAAGCAGTAGCTACATATAAGCCTCACTGCAGACACAAATACGTCAACAGTCTGACCTCTGACCTGTAAAAAACATTGATAAAGTAACTTTGTACATGTGTAGCATTAGCCTATCTAACATCTTACCAGTTCGATGTGTGTTAGCTGCTGGGCAAGTATGAAAGGTTCGTCGCACACGCTCAAGATGTCGCTTCGCTGAGCCGAAGCCTGTTTGCTTTTCAGCGAAGCGGGACGCTCCTGCGCCACGGCGTTGAGCGCCGCCACGGCCTCCTCGTACTGGCCGAGGGCAGACAGGCGCTTGATGAGGCGCTGAGTCATCTGCTGCATGGCTCGCCATGAGTACTGCAGGCACAAACGCAACAACATAAGAAGACGCAGGCTGTGAAAAGGGGCTCAAAATAAGCTCTGGTGGGTCACTTTTCATTTTAACTGCAGGTTTCTCACCTCGTCCCCTCGGCCCACTTGCAGCGTCATGTCTTTAAGGCAGCGCATCATCCTCTCGTCTCTGAAGTCGTACGGGAACGTCTCCGTCCACTCGGTCAAAAGCTGGACCAGTTTTGGCGCCACGTCACGGAAGCGGATCTAGAAAACAATTGTATGTATGAGTAAAGTACCAGCTTCGGATGTTATCATCCATTAAATGGACGTTWTTAGCCGTTATCAGTCCCATAGAATGGCTTCAAACTGTCCCAACTGTGCCGCCTAGTGGTTCTCCGTCCCATAGAATGGCTTCAGACTGTCAGCTGGTTAATATGAGACATAAAGCCACAAAGTTTAATTTTAGAGAAAATGACATGGGCTACAATAAAGTAGGCCAGACTCCYGCGGTAGCAGACTGTTGCATTCCAACGTATAGGGCACTGGTAACCCACTAGGGGGCACTGTCGGACTGGTCTGAAGCCATTCTATGGGACTGATAACCGCTAATAACGTCCATTTAATGGACTGATAACATCCGACCCGGCTGGAATAAAACGACCTGAAAAGTCCCAAAAATAATTTGACGCAATATTTCTGCTTATAATATATGTTTTTTCAGCTTCTCCCCTGTTTTTATCCTGAGTTTGTAGGTTTGATAGTAGAAGTGAGGCTGTGTAGGAACACGTGAAAATGACGGTGAAATAATTACACCTGTGCACGCTCGGGTATGTGCGTGTGCAATCCACCCACCTTATCCAGCAGAGCGTCTCCAGACCGCTGCTGCTCCACACACAGGTGACAAACCCTCGTCATGAGCTCGTACGGGTGCAGGAAGAGGCGTGAACTCAGCAGGAACGTGAACACGTACGACCTCTGAAAACCAGGGAACAAAACAGTTTTTCAGAGATTTAGAAAAGAACACAAATCCATCAGCAAGCAATTACAAAAAAAAAAATGTGTTGCGTAACTCAAACAACATATAGTCGTACTTACATCAGGGTAGTAGTCCACAGTGGGAACCAGGTGCTGGATCAGCGCCTCAAGAGAAGCTGAAACCAAACTGTTGTCGTGATAACACATCTCCCCGTAGCTGGCAGTGATTCCACGTCCGTAAAGTCGAGCTTTCGTCGAGGCGCCGTCGTTACGGCAGGACTGGTCGCCGCCACAGCCGCTCGTGTGCCGATACGCTCGGCCCGGACAGGACGTGCTGTGCTGGCGGGGGCTGTGAGGCTGCGGCGGGGAGTAAAGGTTGTCCGAAATGGTGCAGCTGCTGCCGTAACGGTGCTCCTTGGCGGCCACGGACGAGACCGAGGAGCTACGGTGCGCGCCGTGAGGCTGCGGCACGTCGTAGGGGTTTTCCGCGGTCGGGTAGGTGCCGTTGTAAACGCTCTCTCTTGAAGGTTTCGGAGCTGTGTTGCTCCGGTACGGGCTCTGAGGCTGAGCGTGGTTGTTGTTGTTGTACGGAGGGCAAGAGTTGAACTTCCCTGCATAGGGAGTCGTAGGAGGCATGGTGACCTGTAGACAAAGAGGGAGGGAAACTTTAGGCATGGGAACAGGGTTGGGCAAAACCATATCATGTGCCGTTAAAGTCAGAAAAACTTTAATCGATTCTTATTTGGCACTTGATAATTAATATGATTAATGCTGTCAGGTAGACTGACTGAAGATTTCCCTGGTCAGTCCGCTCGATGTGCCTCTCCACTTCAAATATGATGAACATTAAAAAAAGTTCTGTCATTTACTTATCATAACTCTGTTTTTACTTGGTCTATCAATACAATTTAAAAATGGATGTATAGCCTGAAGTCTGTACTTTTGACACAATTTGGAACAGATTTTTATGAACAGCAAATCTTTCCCACTAGAGTGAGTTAAATTTGTAATGCGACTAGGATATGCAGGTGTCCAGAGACTCCAGGGAATTAATTGTCATATTAGTTATCAGCTAAATACCACAATTAATCATGATTAATGTTTTTGCCAATATCGCCCAACCCTAGTTGGGAAATTTGAAAGACATTACCATCTACTGAACCATCCACCAATGAATTTAGTAATCACGAAAGTCACAGAATTAAAAAAGGTACATTATTTACTTTATTGTTTTTATTTACTTGTTTTGACTGCAGATGTCCACCAATGAGGGCTGCTTTAACAGGTTTGAAAAGTTGGGGTGTTGTTACTGTATTTATTCATTTCATCCTTGTATTATTTTTGACCGATTGTCACAGACTGTATAAAATCTACAGGTGTTCGACAGCACCAGGTTCCAGGGGTTTGTCACAAAATATCTACACATACAGGGTTTTAGATAAAGGACATTCTTTACATTTGTGATTCTTTATGTGTAAGGATCTCAGTTTCATATGGATCGACAAACAAATAAAATCCCTGATAAGTTAATGATAGGAAACAGAAAGTTTGAAGTGTTGAATGGAATTCCCCAAAAAACGAGATTCCTTCTTTCCTCCAGAGCCCTCATACTGTTTTTCTTAGCCAACCAACCAAAACCAAAAACGGATGTTTGACTTAAGTTAGTTTTTTCAGGTGCAAAACAGACATTAATCATAAGACAACAATAAAAAATGTTATGATTTAGGCTTAAGTGTCAGCGCTTGTAACACTGGTGACGATCTTTCAGACAACATAAAGACAAAGTCATGTCTACAGATGCCTCTTGTGTTATATCCTGTTAATATAATACTCTGTCAGCCCACCTCTTTCCCTGGGAATCTGGTTGATGTTTAAACTGCAACTGTGAAAATATCTGTTTGAGCAACTGCGTCACACTAAGCAGAGACTTAACAAGTGTCTGTGACTCTAATCACACTTGATCGCATAATTTTAGCCTAGCTCTGTTTATTTTTTTTTGTGCTAGCAACATTTGAAAGGTATGTCTAACTCAAACAAGCCCATTTGTCAGGAAAATATCTACAAATCAGCTTTAAAGGCACAGATTTTTCCACTGCCCTTTACTTTGCTTCACCCATTGTCACATTCCAGACGTTCACTTGTTGGAGGTGGTGCAGCATGTGGGGGGTAAAAAAAACACGATGACAGATGGATGATCTCAAGTCAGCGATGATTTTAAGTCTTAACGTTAAAGATAATTGGATCTTAGGTTGGTAAGCTGATCCCGGGTCGCCACCAAAGTGTGCTTTATCTCTGGAGCCACCTTTATCCTGCTGCTCTCGTCTGTCTGTGCAACATGTGCACATACATGCTGTGACATATACACAAGCATATACAGAAAACAGAACCCCCCCCCCGCCAGACTTGTGTTTGTCCATTACAGTGCCAACAGAGGAGTGTCTGCCTCAGCCAACATCTTACACACACATGCACACACGCACACCCTTGTCCACCATGGCGCCGAGCCTCATACCAATATAATCCTAACGCACATTATGTCGCACATAAACACAAGACGGCTGAAGCAACCCAAACACACACACAAGCCTATACCACAACTTTTGGCAACTTGCCTGTGTAAGCCAGGCCAACTCTGAACTCTGTGATCTCAGCCTGCTGTTCTCCTTCTAACTCTGTTAAGATCACAGCATCTTTACCTCGTTTATTCGAAAGACACACACTCAAAAGGTGTTTAGGTTGAGATAAAACTCCACAGAGTAGTTTTCTTCTTTTTCATTTTGGCTGCTATCCCTGTGTTTTTGTTTGGAATAAAAGAAAAAAAAAAGAAAAAAAAGAAAAGGCAAAACCACATCTCGGAACTCAAAACCAATCATGATTTTTCCAGACTGACTTCCTGAATAGCTGACCCTTTGGATGGTTGTGGCTTCCAGGCTCCTGCAGTACTGAAATTGTACTCGTTCTAAATCATAGGTTGGACTCCCTCCTGATGGATTAAAAATGGCACCGAGAGCACAGATTCATATTAGGTTTGTTTACATTCTCTTGCTTGTGAACTCTGAAAACTGCAGCCATGCGAGGCGGTTTGATGTGGTTGTAAAGATACAAAAAAAAAAAAAGTGAACCAAAACAACTTCTTGCTCTTGGACTAATACAATATTCTGAGCATCTATGTTTTGGATGTTCTCCTTTGTTTTGACGGTCCATCTTTAAGACCGACATTCGGCGTGGTTTTTAAAAAGGTAGATCAAGCGTTGCTGAGCCCAGCAGGCCGGTGGGGGTTCTTCAACAATAGAGGTATTATCCCTCCTGTCATGGCATTAACAAACACACAAAGACCTCCAGGAAGAGATCAGAGCCGATCGGACACACACAGCAGCTTTCACACACTCTGCTCGTAGCTGCTGTCATGAAGTGCGACACCCCGGCTCTGACTGGGATTATTCTTGCGTCAGGCAAACAAGTAATGCGGATTTTCTAGTTCTTCTGGAAGGTTCAAACTCTCATTATAGCTCGTTTTTTAGTGAGGTCAGGAGTCTTAATCCACCCCTTTTAATTATAGATGCAAATATAAACAGGAATGTGTCTGTGTGGACTTTGAAGAGAAACATTCAGACGTTGTTTGAAGTCGACGTAAAGCGTGTGGCAGAAGAATCTCAAGGACGGCAGCAATTCAAAGAGAGACGTTTAATAAGTTCTAGAGAAGTCCAGCATGCACCAAAGGTTAACTGTGGACACTTGGAAAACTGTTTGGAGCCAAAGGCACAGCCTGCTTCTGATAAGAGGCGCCGTAAAGCAATTTGTTGGAGTAAAAAAATGTGCCAGTGCAATGCTATCTTCAGTCTACTTTACACCTGATGTACTTTGGCACTAGGAAGTGTGAGTAAGAAATATATTCTGATCTAACTCTGAGGTAACGCCTCACAATCGTGCCTTCAGGTTTCAAAGTGCAGCCTGTGTTCATTTCACACAGTGATTTCCAATGATGTCCAAAGGCCACAGTCAAAGGGACACTTTAAARGTTGTGAAGTTTGTAAACTGGTAGCACATCTTTAATCACCATCAGCTCAGCTGAAACTCTGAAACTGATTCAGCCATTTCACTTCCATTTGTGTAACAGTTACTAATAGAGGCATAGTACACTTCTGCCCCTTTTCCACTAGTGCTACTTAGTGTTGGTACAGTCAGTGTCAGAACGGGTCAGTTCAGGTGCTTTTTCCATTGACATTCCAGTCCGGTTCCAGTGGGTGTGTTTTGGGKGGCTGGTGGAGGTGGTTTTTGGGTTTTTCAAAGAAAACGTTAATGCACAAAATTAGGGATGGAAACATATTTGCCGAATAAGTTCTGAAATTTAAAAAAATTGCTAAAAATTCAAATTAAAATTGGATGGAAGCACCACTAATGTCACTGCTACAATTGAAAAAATGCCTCCTTGAGCTGTTGTTGTAAAGGCAGCTTAGACGCAACCAGTGACTCCACCCCCTAGCCAATCAGTGACAAACAGTGTTCTGACATCGCATTTTGGTGTCGACTGGGACTGCTTGGAACCACAACGAAGTAGGTACTAAAAAAGGGCCAGTTCCATGAATGTGGCCTAATGGAAATGGCTTGGAACTAGGGTTGGGCYATATTGGCAAAACAATAAATCACGATTAATTGTGGTATCTAGCCGATAATGATTAATTTGACGATTAATTCCCTGGAGTCCCTGGACCCCCTTATGTCCTAGTCACATGACCAATTTAGTGGGAACGATTTGCTCTTCGTAAAAATCTTTTCCAAACTGTGTCAAAATCACAGACTTCAGGCTATACGTCAAATTTTAATTGTGTTGATGGATAAATTAATTACAGAACTTTTGCTTAAATGTTCGTCATATCTGAAGAGGAGAGGAGCACAGAGCGGACTCTACCTGGTGGCATTAATCGTATTAATCGTCAAGTGCCAAAAAWTAATCGATTAATGTTTTTCTGACGATTAATTGCACACGATACGATTATGCCCAACCCTACTTGGAACCATACTGAACCGTACCACCGACACTACACTAAGTGGCACTAGTGGAAAAGGGGCAGAATACRACATGTTGATACTTTTACAGAGGCTATATATTTTGGTAATCAAACACAAAGAAAGTTACAATTTTTCTCCTTTATAACCGCAAAAAGACTCAAGAAAGCAAACTATGAATTTTAAGAGGAAAAATCAATAGAAAAACTTCATATAAGTCATTTTAAAAGCTTCTGATTATCTTACAGTATTTAAATCTTTTTTTATGCAGGGAAGTACTTGATACTTTACTTTCCTACCAAAACTAGGGCAATACACAAAACCAGAGATCAAAACTCACTGGTTTTGCATGTCTTTCCTGTTTTCTTGTCATGCAAATAATCCACTTCTTGGATTAAAAAAAAGGCTAAAAGTAACTTTCCAATCTCCCTAAAACAAAGTTGAGTTTTTCCCTGACAAACGCAGAATCAAGTCATCTTAACTAGGTAAAAGACGCACGCATTAAATAAACTGATYAAAGATTAGCCACGTGCTCTTCTTTGTGCTTGAGGTCTGTTTTTGCTGATCTTTYTTTACACGACCTTCTGAACTCTTAGCCGCTTCCATCACCACATTTTACACGTCATCGAGCAAAGAGCCTCGCTAAAGTAGGAGAGGAGCACYGAGCATAAACAAATGCTCGGAGAAGGGTCAGATAACGCCTGCAGCCTCTTGTCAAAACACCGGAGCTCAGGGCTACTCTGTTTAAACAGATGCACGTAAATCTGATAAGCAAAATGCTCTTTCATGATACTACTAGGTAATTTCACCAACATCATTTGGGAGGCCAGTCTCTGCTGCAAATCAATAGTAAAGCTCGCCTGTTGTCTATAACTCAAATCACTGCCTTTCAGCAAAAAGAAAAAAAAAATCACTTGCTTCTTCTCAGACCAGTTATTCCCTCAATCGCCTCTGTACCTGAGCCCAGCAATTTATTAGAGATTTATTTTAAGCAACCTGGAGCAAACGCTTGGAAAGTGCTTGAAGCTGGCACTGGCTTTATAAGAGGTGTGTGGAGCAGGAAATAAAGCTGTTTGCGTCACACACACACACACACACACACACACACACACACACACACACACACACACACACACACACACACACACA